GAATTATACAGAGTGAATGTGGGTTTTACTCACGGAAAACAACAACAAAACACAAACAAACAAACAAACAAATAAACAAACAAACAAACAAACAAAAACAAACAAAAACAAACGAACGAACAAACAAACAAACAATGAAACAAACAAAAAGAAACAAAACAATAAACTTTAGAAAGTATTTTGCTTAGCATGGCTGAAATGTTGAATTAATTATAGTGTATATCAGAACAAACTTCATAAAATGCATAGAACACTTTTATCAATCAGTAGGCTGTAAAACGATTAAAACTCACAGTAAATATCATAGTGTAGGTGTTTTTATTTTATTTATTTTTTGTTACTAAGGCATAATGACCCTGATTTGTTAATAAATAAATTCCTCGGACTAGATCCATTTTTCCAACATATATGAATTTAGATATATTTTTAATGATGGCTCTTTTCGATGTAAACATTTAGTGATTCTCTAGGTGTCAGTGTTACATTAAGGAACGCTGAAATTGCACTCAAAAAAGACTCTGCCCTCATAAAATCTGATTCATCCGTTCGAGCACAAAGAACGGCATCATTTTGGAGGCTGCACGGACCAGATCTGACGTTGCTTATTTATTTATTCTTTGGAAATACTTTTTTATATATATACATTTGTTTTTTGTGGATGATATTCGTGGATAACAATTTGGATGGTTATGCCGGGAGAGACAAAGCAAACGGAGCCAAAATGACGTCTTTGTCAGGCGCGCTGTTTTTCTTCCTGATTTTCTGCCGCACCGAGCTAATTTCAGCGCAGCTAAAATACTCCACACTGGAGGAGGTGAAAGTTGGAGCCGTGATCGGAAACGTTGCCAAGGATTTGGGCCTGGATGTCAGCATGCTGTCCAGCAGGCGATTCCGTATTGTGTCAGGAGCTGACGGCGCACTGTTCGAGGTAAACACGAACAATGGGGTTCTGTTCGTGCAGAAGAACATTGACCGCGAGCAGCTGTGCGACGGAAACGCCGCCTGTTTTACGGACCTTAAAATCGTTGTGGAAAACCCACTCGAGGTTCATTATGTCACTGTGGAAATAATAGATGCAAACGACCACGCGCCGAGTTTTGCAGAAAAAGAAAAAGTGATAGAAATAGCGGAGTCCACTGCGCCCGGAGCACGATTTCAGCTTCCAGGCGCGCGTGATCCAGATGCTGGAATAAATGCTGTACAACGCTACAAAATGAGTCAAAATGAACATTTTAATTTGGAAATTAGAGACAGGGGTGAGGACAAAATCCCTCTCTTAGTGTTGCAGAGGCAGCTGGACAGAGAGCAGAACAGAAACCACAGCTTGATTTTAACTGCCAAAGATGGAGGGACACCTCCTCGATCAGCTAATCTCAACATTACAATTAAAGTTCTTGATAATAATGATAACAGACCCACGTTTTCTGAAGATATTTATTCAGTTACATTGCAGGAAAATGCAGCTATAAATACGTATATCACACAGGTCAAAGCAACTGATCTGGATGAGGGATTTAATGGAAATATTGAGTTTGCATTCGGAGGTGATGTTAATCCAGATGTTTTAAAACTGTTCAGTCTAGATAAACAAAAGGGAGAAATTCGAGTTATTGGTTTAATAGATTATGAAACAGCTAATGTTTACAACCTAGACGTACAAGCCTCTGATAAAGGCACACCCCCGATGACCACAGACTGTAGAGTCATAATAAAGGTCCAAGATGTCAATGACAATAAACCAGAAATAGAGATAACATCATTATCCAGTATGATCCCAGAGGATTCGAAACCAGGAACAGTTGTTGCTCTGATAAGTGTAAAAGACAGTGATTCTGGTTTGAATGGAAAAGTGGTTTGCCGCCTACCAGAAAATATTCCATTTGATTTAAAACCATCATTTAAAGAAAATATGTATTCATTAATTACAAAGGAAACACTGGACAGGGAATCTGTGTCACATTATGACATTTTATTAACAGCTACAGACTGTGGGGAGCCGCCTCTCTCCACGTTAAAAACTCTGAGCATTCAGGTGTCGGATGTGAATGATAACGCGCCCACATTTTTACACAGTCCTCTGGAATTATATTTGATAGAGAACAATACTCCTGGTGGGTCTATATTTTATGTGAGCGCATCTGATAGAGACTTGAACGAAAACGCGGTTGTGTCTTATCGGTTAGTGAAAGGTGAGGGCGGCCATACAGACATGACATCTTTTCTGAATATACACGCTGAGAACGGACAGATATCAGCGCTGAAAAGCTTTGATTTTGAAAGTCTGAAAACTTTCCAGTTCCAAGTTGTGGC